TCTTTGGCTCTTAAGTGGCACATACTATGAGATGATCGTAATAATCTCCGAATTCAGGTAAGACTGCGTGCCAAGAACCGCAAAGAACATGGCTTTAGACCAATCCCAATAAAGAACTTATTAAAAAAGTCTTAAAAATATTTTATTATTTTATTTTTAGACACGGGGTGTCTTAGTTCAACAAAAGTATCTTATTTTAGACATTATGTCTATTTTTAAGATTCTTTCACTATTTTTTTATTCATTTTTATTATTAAAATCTTTTGTTTTAGACACCCAAAGTTCTCCACTGGTGTTGCTCATCCTAAAAGACATTGAATTCAAGAATGGTTATGAGGAATCAAGAAGAGTTATTTTGAACCAGTAGTTGAAAAATAGATAACCAGCTAAACCGGCTACTGCGACAATAGCTAGTATCAAGAGTGAAGAATCGATTCAACTGTGGAGAGAGATGGATAGAACAGAATGCTCTCGGAAGAGGCTATGATGGCTTGGTCAAAGATGCTTAAAGGTCTTTGTGGTATTGGATCAATGGATGCCGCACTAAGACTTTTACCATGAGATGCAATGCCAAGAGGAACCTAAGTCGCATCCTGATGTGGTTACTTACATTATAATTCTTGATGGTTGCGTTTCTATATATGCATGCACATGAAGATCAAATTTCAAATCAAGCTTATGAATAACAATATAACCTGTCTTCAAGGATTCACATAATCAATTATCAAACAGTTTCCGTAGCATTGATCATTCATCAAAGTAGAATGAGAATCCAAAGAAAGAAAACAATATGTTACAACTCAAATGGGAAGATAATCAAATGAAATGGATCTTGCCCTTGGAAGAAGCTGTATGGAAGAGCTTCTTTAGTTTATTGGTGAGTGACAAGTTATCTTGCATATCCACCTGAAGCTTAACTTTCACAACTTCAAGACACCTCAAATTCTCCATGAAATGTCTCATCTGTTTCAACTCTCTACAACTTCCTCCGTACTCATAAATCTGTAGCACCTTCACTTGACACGACAATAAACAACTTTCCTTCTTATTAATCTTGGTGACACGTTTGCAAACGCATACATCCCCACATCCTTTTGTAATCTTGTGCACAAGACCCTGAAGGCATAATAACAAACAGCACAGCTAGTTAGAAGAAGAAGAAGAAGAGAGAGATTATATGTTTGTTAGTTTTGCTTTCCTTGTTAGTTTTCAGACCTTGATGACTAGAGTTTCTAGGTTTGGAGCATTCTTGAGCAGAAGTGGCAATACTTGCCAATGGCGTTCCTTGTGGCTCTCAAAAGATAACTTAGCGAGGTTGTTGAACTCGGGCATAGATGTAGAGCAGCAATAAAACACCTGATGATATAGCACAAAACATATGTTCAAACAAAGCCAATATGGCTATAAACCGACAAGAACAAGAGAGAGAGAGAGAGAGAGAGAGAGAGAGAGAGAGAGAGAGAGAGAGAGTAGGAAAGTGACCTCAAGAGAATCAGCAGACAGGTGAAGGGTCACAACATTGCTTATCGCTGTAATGAGTTGGTTTGCACCACCCCAAGCATCACCCCAAGTTGTAGAACCATTATGCTTCCACAATACAAGATCCAGTCTAGCCTCGACAAGCGAATCCAATTCAACATCATAAGTTTCTGCGACATGGCCAGAGTAGTCAAGGTACACAAGATTGGGCGTCTCAAGTGAAACCCATCTGTGGGCTTCTCGATCATGACAACGGTGAAAAATGGATATTCTCTGGATTGATGAACTCCGCACATCTTTTAAAGAATCCGATTGAAGAGGATCATCATCACATATGTTCAATTCCTCAAGCAAAGGGCTAGAGAGGAGGCACTCATACAAATCATCACCATAAAAGAAAGCATCAAACCAGACCCGAAAGAGAGAGAGACTTTTGAGTGCAGGGAAGAGCACACCGCCCGGAAAAGGTTCCCTTTGGTCATTAAATCCATCGGATAGAGTGAGTTTGACCAATGTCTTGCTGAAGAAGAACTCAGGCACTATATATCGTATGCATGATGATGACAAGTGTAGTTCCAAGGTTCCCCGTCCCAGCACATCGCCGACCAGATGGTTGTACCGAGAATAGTCTATATATGATATCCCTTTCAAAGAGACTTTCTTGATGGGGACACCACCCATCGATGCAAGGGTTCTCTCCACCAAACCAAGGAAGCCACGGCCACTAGCTGTTGATCCTCCGTTGGCAGACTCATCGAAATCAACGCTATGAACCAGTGGCAACAGATTCCTCCACCGCTTTGAGAGAACTGATGTTGAAGCAGCAAGTTTTGTAGGGACCAGAGACAGGATCTGACCCAAAACCTCGTCTGGTAGGCTGTTTATTGATCCTCCACCACAAGTTTCCACCTTTTTGTCAGCAATAGCCATTGAGCTTTACCTTTTTGGCAGAAAAAAACAGAGTCATTTTTCAATTTTTGGCACAAACAACAACAAACAAGCTCTTTACACAGTTTATGCTTTGATTATCACGAGCAGAAACAATCAACTTCTGACAATCAATCGAACATAAACAATCTGACAATCAATCCAACATAAACAATCTGGATCCGAAACAAAACCAACAAGATTTACAACCAGAGAGAAGAAAAGTAGATACCTTTGAGGAAAGAGACAACACGAACAAGACGTAAGCTTGTTGATGACAAGAAATCACAACACGAACAAGACGTAAGCTTGTTGATGACAAGAAATCACTTCAACGGAAGAAGATATCGAAAGTTCAGTTTTTTTTCGGAGTTTTTGACAAAGGAGATATACAATGGAAACTCTTCATTGTTTTCCTTTTTTTTCAGCAGCATATATCTTCTTCTTTCCTGCGTGACAAAAGAGATGAGTTCGGTTTTTTATTTAGGTTTTTGGTTTATCAATTTTATAAATCACATAATTTTATAAGAAAAGTAATTTATGCTATTAAGAAAAACAATTTAAATCCTTTTCTTGTTAATTTAAAAATACGTATATGAGGTAATTACAAAATAAAGCTATTTTTACAACTATTTGTGTAACTATCTGAGATAAAAGGAAAATATATTCTGGCCAATAACAAAGAAAATCTTCATTGTTTTTTTTTTTTTTACCATAATATATTTTTTCTTATGCTGGCAAAAAAAGACAAAATATTATTTTTAATATGTATAAAAATTACGAAATAAAGTTATTTTTGCAAATATTTTTGCGAGGTAAAATAATGGATTTTGTGATACACATTTTTTTATTGGTGAAGGACAGAGCACATTTGAAGGTTCTATATACTATTGAGTGTCACATCTACAATCCTTATTCTTTGTAGACACCTCAAAAAATGATTTGCGATGTGTTAGAAACTAATTTCTGCAATACACAATTTTGTGTATGTTTATAGAACCGTAGCCCCTTCGTAGAAAATTACGATATCATTCGTTCTATCATCTAATGGAATCTTAATCAAAATCCATGTAACAACATTGGCTTCTCATGAAAATGGACTTTAATATTGCCACAAACAGAGATATATATTACAGGTATTGCTCTCGCCAATTTCTTTGTAAGTCCTATCACCTATAATCTAACTAGACGTAATATTTCACTTGACCTATAATCTGAATTGATCCACTCTTTTGTTTAATCTATAGTTGTTAAATCTACAGTAAAATTTCTATAAATTAGATTACCATTAATTTTCATGATTAAACTACCAAAACAAACGTAATTGTTTGCAAAACCACTCTTTTGTTAAATCTGTAGTTCCAAAAAAAGAAAATTCACTCTATTCTTCTATCTAATTTCATAATTTATATCAAAACCTTGAAATAGTAACCAACTACCCCAAATCACATTTAAAAAACAGGAATTGCTCCATCCATTTGGAAGAATGTATGTTTATATCATTATGTCAGTTATCACATATAACTTTTCCAAGAATATTTTGTGTTGGAGGTGATGAAACCATCTAGAAGGCTTTTTATGTATACTCGTTTAGTTTCTATTTATTTATAATCAGACTATAAATTCAAAAAATGCAATTCATGTTTTTCATATTTTACTTTTCCATGTTGGTTTTTCAAAAACCGGTGAATAACTTCTACATATATTTAAGTGTTAAAATTTCTTGGTTGTAGTTTTTTTGTACCAATTTTGTATCGTACTTTAACATTTGGTCTATGAATGTATATTGGTTATAGCTTGTCTTATGTTCATGATTTTTTTTGCGGTTAGGCTGCTGCTGATAGAAGCTCACACTGCCGAAAGAAGAAGAGAGGACTCAACTGAGAATTTGGAGGGTTAGATTTTTCTTTTGTCCTGTTTCATGTTTTCAAAAACCAAGATTTAGAGTTTTTTTACAACAGGAAAAAAACCATTATATAGAACCCAAAAAAAACAGAGTTATTCTCTCTTTTATGCATATTCTGATTTTCTGATTTCAAAATAGAAATACCAAAACGATGAAAAAAATTGGTCAACAATACTTGTTAACATGTACACTAGCATTCATGACCGAACCACAAACCGAACAGGTCCATGACAATGTCGAACCTCAGATTTACAAACCTTAGCTTATACAGTATAAACCTCATTTGGTTAAATGATGAAACGGAGATCGAAAGAGCATTATAGAGTCAGAGAAGAAACAAGTGAATCCTCATGAAAACTTTATATCAGCTTCAAATACCTCAAACCCCCCTAAGAGAAACACTACTTAGAGGTAATTAGTTTGCAAAAACAAACACAAATCAGACTCTCTTTCTCTTCAATGAACAAGCCCAATTAGCAAATATATAAAGAGGTCCCACCTTTTAAATCTACAATTTTCAGCTGATTTTTTTAAAGACCAATGTTACAAAAACTGAACTGTATGGAAACAAATAATTTGGGTTGTAGAAACAAACAGAGAGATAAAAGTTTATACTTTGCCAAGTTAGAATGTGAACGGAACAGATTCTCCAGTACTGTCTTTATGATTATATGTTGAAATCAAATCTCTATCTTTGTTTCGCAGCTAATCTCCCATAGTAATGTATTGCAATCTAATAAAATAAAAATCAACAAAATTGAATTTCAGGGATTCCTTAAGCTGAATTCTCCAATTACAAACATAGACCTGATCTCCTTCGATTGGGACTTCACCATCACCGACTCGGCTGTCGAGACCCTTAACTCCACCGGAATTCGGGATTTCAGAGAATTCAGCGAGGAGAAGAGAAGCAACAAGAGGAGATGAGAAAAGACGTGACAGAGATAATCGACAGAGATGATAATGGTGATGATGATGTGCAAGAACAAGATGCGCAGATTCTGATAGATGATCGAGATGTGAAATGGACGGAAGTGATGAAGGGAGCACCTACACGAGGGCATATTCTTCTTGCTTTGGTTTGATAGGAATAGGATTAGGATTACGATAGGTGCAAAGTGCAGACAAAAACTAGTGGAAACAAGAACAATACAAAGTTGAGTTTTGTTTTTTTGAAAAATTATAACGTACGGTTAATTTTTTCAGTCGTTCTACAATTATTGCGTTATGCTGCATGTTTAACCGAAATAGCAGAAGAAAGCAGTTTCGTCGAGCTTAGAGTCTGTTTTTTTTTTTTTTTTTTTTTTTTTGACAAGCAAGCCTAGAGTCTAATTAATTTCTTTTTGATATGGGAAAGCACATTTGCCTGAGAAATAACATTCGCTCTCACAGAATATCCAATGGAAATTCTTCATTGTTTTCCTTATTTTTTTTTTTAATTTAGCTTTTGGTTTATCAAATTTATAAATCACCATAAGTAGAGTAAATTTATGCTGCTAAAAAAAATTAAAATCTTTTTTCGTTAATGATAAAATACGTATCTGTAACTATCTGAGGTAAAATTCGTTAATGATAAAATACGTATCTGTAACTATCTGAGGTAAAATGGATTTTGTGATGCACATTTCTGGCGAATAACACAGCATATATAATATTTGTGGCAGAAACAAAGTCTTTGTTTTTCTAGTTGCATCTTCAATTGAAATGAAGCATATCAACTAATATCTCTAATCGATCGAAAGTCGAATTCGATTCATTCCTTCAAAGCCGCAGCAACAGAGAGGCGTGAGAACTTACATGATTCGTCTTTCTCTCTCGCGACAACAGAAAAAATTCGAACCCCCAAATAAGGGTTTAAGCAAAAACCCTCCGAGTTCATGCCCAAATGCCCATTCCCATTCCGTATCAGCTACTTCCTCAACGAAAGTCGAATCCTTTCGAGCAACCCAGTTAAGCGCTCTATCCATCTTCGCTTTTCTTCTTCTGTTTCAGTTTCTCCGAAGCCATCCATGGAAGCCGAGCAACACCAGGAGAATCCATTGGAGGCTCCAATCTCGGAGAAGATGTTCAAATCGGCTCCCAAAATGGGTTCTTTCAAGCTGGGTGATTCCACTTTGTCTTCGATGATTGAGAATTACGCCAATTCGGGTGATTTTGCGTCGGTCGAGAAGCTTTTGAGCCGAATTAGATTAGAGAAGAGAATGATTAAAGAGCATAGCTTTATTGTTGTATTTAGGGCTTACGGGAAAGCACATTTGCCTGAGAAAGCTGTAGAATTGTTTCACAGGATGGTCGATGAGTTTCAGTGTAAACGTACAGTCAAGTCCTTCAACTCTGTGCTGAACGTGATTACAAAAGAGGGTCTTTATCACCGAGGGTTGGAGTTTTATGATTATGTTGTGAACTCGAACATGAACATGAACATTCATCCTAATGGCCTGAGCTATAACCTGGTCATTAAGGCTCTCTGCAAGCTGGGATTTGTGGACCGAGCTATCGAGGTCTTCAGGGAAATGCCTGAGAGAAAGTGTTTGCCTGATGGGTATACTTATTGTACATTGATGGATGGGTTGTGTAAGGAGGAAAGGATCGATGAAGCGGTTCTACTGTTGGACGAGATGCAGAGCGAGGGATGCTCACCGAGCCCTGTTACGTATAACGTGTTGATTGATGGGTTGTGCAAGAAAGGCGATTTGACTCGAGTGACGAAGCTTGTGGATAATATGTTTCTTAAAGGGTGTGTCCCTAACGAGGTGACTTATAATACGCTTATCCACGGTCTATGTCTCAAGGGTAAGTTGGATAAAGCTGTTAGCCTCTTAGAGCGGATGGTGTCGAGCAAATGCGTACCAAACGATGTCACGTATGGAACGCTGATCAATGGGTTGGTTAAGCAGAGACGAGCAATGGACGCGGCTAGGTTGCTGATCTCTATGGAAGAAAGAGGGTATTGTTTGAATCAGCATGTTTATTCGGTTCTTATAAGCGGATTGTTTAAAGAGGGGAAAGCTGAGGAAGCTATGAACTTGTGGAAGAAAATGGCTGAGAAATGTTGTAAACCCAACATTGTTGTGTACAGTGCTCTTGTTGATGGTTTATGCCGCGAAGGGAAACCAGAGGAAGCTAAAGGAATACTAAACGGAATGATAAGTAATGGATGTTTGCCCAATGTGTATACGTACAGCTCTCTGATGAGAGGCTTCTTCAGAGCTGGTCTTAGTGAAGAAGCGATTCAAGTGTGGAGAGAGATGGATGAAACAGAATGCGCTCGGAATGAGGTTTGTTATAGTGTTGTAATCGATGGTCTTTGTGGGGTTGGGAGAGTTAAGGAGGCTATGATGATTTGGTCAAACATGCTCACTATTGGGATCAAACCTGATACGGTAGTTTATAGTTCAATGATCAAAGGTCTTTGTGGTATCGGATCAATGGATGCGGCACTAAGTCTTTACCATGAGATGCTGTGCCAAGAGGAACCTAAGTCACAGCCTGATGTTGTTACTTACAATATACTTCTTGGTGGTTTATGTAACCAGAAAGATGTCTCTAAAGCAGTTGATCTCTTGAACTGTATGTTGGATAGAGGTTGTGATCCGGATGTCATTACCTGTAACACGTTCTTGAAGACTTTGAGCGAGAAGTCAGATTCCTGTGAAGAAGGGAGGAGTTTTCTTGAGGAGCTTATTGTGAGGCTCTTAAAGCGTCAGAGAGTATCAGGCGCGTGTAAGATTGTGGAAGTGATGCTGAGTAAGTATCTGACACCAAAGGCTTCCACTTGGGCGATGATTGTTCCGGAGATTTGTAAATCGAAGAAGATCAATGCCGCCATTGATAAATGCTGGAGGAACTTGTGTGCTTGAAATATTAGTGAGGATTCTTTGTTGCAGATCGCACGCAGGCTCCTCAAAAGCCTCCTCTATGCTTCTGGAGATATGGAATACCAGAAAGGCTCGAGAAAAACAGGTAGATAGATCATTCTATATTTGCAATCTGACTTTGTTAAACATTGTTTCTTGATTAATGCGTGGATGAGACACATTAGCTAAAGTCCCCTTGTGTTCTTCTGCTTTAGGATCCCCATTTCTACAGTGTGTTATGTTTCAGACATGTTTGATTCGAGATCTTTGTTCTGTTCTTCCATCGTTTGATTACTCTTTATTTTGCAGCTTAAACCAAAAGGAAAAGGATCTTTGAAGTCTGATTGGTCTCTCCATGGTTCAAATTTTCGTGCAACTAGAGAAAGAGAAAAGCCTGAATACTGATCGGCGGATGCTTTTCGATAAGTGAAGCCTTAAAGACTATTATCTGATGCTCTCTGGGATTCTTGTGCCGTGCTTCAGTTACTGTTCTGGTTTTGGATTTAGTTGGCTTTTCCTTTTCCTTTTGCACTTGCACCATATATATACTTGAAACCCAATTTGTAGAACAAAGGAGGCATTTGTGTAAGAATTTTGGAACGTGTAAAGCAGAGAAGTTTTAATATCAGAGGAAACTCTAGAGGAAAGTCCAGATATATATGCATCGTTCTTGCTAATTTGATAATTTAATCTAAGATTTATGTGGAAAAAAAAATTGGTGACTGTGATGATCTTTTGGAAGCATACATTTAAGCTCTTTAGTTCTACAAATTTAGTTCCAAGTATATATATATATATATATATAGATATGGTGCAAGACTTGAATCCTGATGGTGACTTACGACACAGTGACAATTATAACACAAACTGCAAAAGCAGCATACTAGTTCGCTATCCTCATGTGAATTTTCACATATCAAAAGAATAGTATATGAGTTCAATGATAAATAATGGAATGGATGTATTGCTCATTTCTAACTCACACATATGTGCTGAGTCAATTTTTGTTTTACCTATAACTCAAACTATGAATCTCATAATAAAACCTCCCAACTAAACATAAATGTTTGCAAAACCACTCTTTTGTTATATCTAATTTCACACCCATAATCGAAAATTTGAAATAATAATCAACCATCACAAATTGCGTTTGATAAAGAGTAATTGCCCACCAAATTGAAGAATGTATGCTTATATCATTATGTCACTTATATCAATCACATATAAACTATTTTTATTTCCAAGAATATTGCGTGTTGGAGCTGAAAGAATCATTTAGAAGGTTTGATAATTAGCATTGCTTATGTTTAGTTTCTATTTATTTTTAAACAGACTTTAAATTCATAAAATTGTTTGTTTGTTTTTCATATTTTACTTTTCATGTTGATTGTTTAAAAACTTCCGAATAACTTATGTATTAAAGTGTTTAAACTTTGGTCGGTGTAGTGCAAACTTTGTGGAATTTGATATGTTCTTAATCACTTTGACATACTTCTTGATTTCATTTGAGTATACATTTGTTACAGATTTCTTTCCCAATGATTCCTTTATTGAAGAAACAGTAAAAGCTGGTTTTTATTATCACATAGATTCGCCTCAATCTTTTGAAAGAATGGATGCAAATTTCAAATGAACCCCTGAATTATTTGAATTCATTACAGTGTTTCATTGCATATAGTGTACGTGAAACAAAAACATCCACTTCAATATCAATGCTCTCTTTTCTTCTGATCTGACCAAACTTAAAAATTTATCAAACATTGTTACATCACCATCATTTACATATAAAAACAAACTATAGATAAAAGTTCATCATCACCATAACATGATATATCATCTTAAGAAATTGCTATGTGTTGTATGGTTTAGTGAAAATTTACATTCACATAATATATCTAAACCTTAACACATAATATAAAGGTTCGTAAGAGAGCTCCTCTTGACATCCATTGTGTTTTTTTCTCTTTTTCTCAATGTTTGTAGGAAGCTTTTCTAATTTTGGTTTCGTAGAAAAACACGAATACTAATTTTGGAAAACCCCAACTTATTTAACTGTAATTTGAATTTATTCAAAGTCTTTGTTTGATGAAATGCTTTTGAATCATCATACATTTGGTCGATACAGCTTCTGGAATCTAGATAGTTTCCAACGCTCTCTTGGCTCGTATTTAGATATTGATTGTTAGGTGACTCTAGATTCTGCAAACCTATTCTGGACAGAGTCCATCAAACAAACAAACTAACACAAGTAAAAAGATTGCTTTTGGCTTGTACCTATATTTTTTGACGAGGAAGTTGAAGGAAGAAAAAGGTTGAGCTTAGAGGCACAAAGTTTTGCAATGGCTACCGAGGAGGAAAGTTTTTGCAAACTAAATCTGATATAATTCTATACAAATGCTTAGTCCCAAAGAGTACACAGACAAATAACAACCAATGACACTGTACATTAATGGAGTCTCCTGAGGCAAGACTCCACTTCTTTCCCTTTTCTAAGAAAAAAGAAAATTACATTTGAGACTCTAGAAACTCCAAGATGGCTAAACCGGCTGCACCAACATCCTCATCCAACACATGTTCTGCCGGAGAATGACTTATGCCTCCACGACACCGCACAAATAACATCCCCACCTGCCAGAAAAACAAAAACCTCCCTTCAAGTTTGTGTCTGAAGTCTGAACCAAGAGACAAAACCCACAATGACTACACAACTGAAAATTTTCTAACACCTAGAAACTCTACTACAATTGTCTTAAAAAGGGTTCGGAGTTGGGACTCACATAATAAGTCTAACTCACTGATTAAATGAGGACGATGAAGTAGAAAAAATTACACTAAGATGTTTTAGTTTCCATTCGTTTAATTACCATAGTTAAGTGAGACATAGCCATAACATCATGTCCTGCTCCGCTCATTAGCACATGTACCTCGTCCTGGATCTATCTTAAGGAAATTTACATTCACATAATATCTCTAAATCATACCACGCATAGTAATTATATTATGTGAATGTAAAAAAATTGTTATCGATGTATGGTTTAGTGAAAATCTACATTCATATAATATCTTTAAATCCTAATCTACAAACTTTAGTCCATTGAATTTTAAATCTATAAAAATAAGCAAAAAATAAGTAAAATATAAGCAACAAAAAAAAATGAAACACACTAGTTTAATAATTTTTTTTGCTAAACATCCATATAAAAGAAATTTAATTTTTTTATGTCTTTTATAAAGTTCAAAAATATATAAATAAAATGCAATTTTCCATAAATAAGTGGTAATAAACGAAAATGTAATTAATAAACAAAGAAAATACACAAGCACAAAAACTCTATTATTGAAAACCAAAAGTTCATATATTAATGAAAAGTTAGAAAAATTAGTTCATTCAATAAAACATACCAAAACAAGATAATTCTTAGATACTCCACTATAGCAAGAATCCTTTTCAAGTGACATTTGTTTTTTATCTAATTTTGAGAGCTATCTGACATTACACAAAAAAAAAATGTTGGATGAGCAAATATAAGAAACATTTATTGAATTAAAATTTGGTTACATAGAAATACACTATTCAACTAAAATTTTGGTTTTGTAGAAAAACACGAATACTAATTTTGGAAAAACCCAACTTATTTAACTGTTATTTGAATTTATTCAAAGTCTTTGTTTGATGAAATGCTTTCGAGTCCTCATGCATTTGGTCGATACAGCTTCTGGAATCTAGATAGTTTCCAACGCTCTCTTGGCTCCTATTTATATATTGATTGTTAGGTGACTCTAGGTTCTGCAAACTTATTCTGTACAGAGTCCATCAAACAAACAATCAAACGAACACAAGTAAAAAGATTGCTTTTGGCTTGTACCTATATTTTTTGACGAGGAAGTTGAAGGAAGAAAAAGGTTGAGCTTAGAGGCACAAAGTTTTGCAATGGCTATCGAGGAGGAAAGTTTTTGCAAACTAAATCTGATATAATTCTATACAAATGCTTAGTCCCAGAGAGTACACAAAGACAAATAACAACCGATGACACTGTACATTAATGGAGGAGAAAGACAAATAACAACCGATGACACTGTACATTAATGGAGTCTCCTGAGACAAGACTCCACTTCTTTCCCTTTTCTAAGAAAAAAAGATATTACATTTGAGACTCTAGAAACTCCAAGATGGCTAAACCGGCTGCACCAACATCCTCATCCAACACATGTTCTGCCGGAGAATGACTTATGCCTCCACGACACCGTACAAATAACATCCCCACCTGCGGGAAAATCAAAAACCTCCCTTCAAGTTAGTGTCTGAACCAAGAGACAAAACCCACAATGACTACACAACTGAAAATTTTCTAACACCTAGAAACTCTACTACAAATGTAGTAAAAAAAATTACACTAAGATGTTTTAGTTTCCATTCGTTTAATTACCTTAGTTAAGTGAGACATAGCCATGGCATCATGTCCTGCTCCGCTCATTAGCACAGGTACCTCGTCCTGGATCTCTCCTGTCATCTTCTTAAGGGCAATCTGAGCTGCTGATTTCAGCTGTAAACTTAAATGCGGGTCTGAGATCACTGCGTCTGCATCGTGCTGCAACGAAACCGGGGACGAAGTTGGTAAAAAGAAGACATTAGGGAGTACAAGGTAAGAAGAAGAACGGCTTTGGATAAACCGCTCTTTACCTTTCGTTCAATGGAGCACAAAAGCGATCTTTTGTCACATATCTGGTACATCCTAGTTGATAAGTCGTGGAGAATAGCCTTGCGTCCTACATCATCTATGGTACGTAAATCCACAGTAAAAGTTACCTGAATTCGCTTCCATTAAATCATTTAGAGTTCATTCGCAAGAAGCAATAAAAGAAACGAAAGGGCGAGAAAGGAGATTAGTTTCTGTATCTTGCCTGGCCTGGGATGACATTGCTAGCACTTGGCCAAGTCGAGATTTCTCCAACAGTACAAACAAGTGAATTGGCAAGGGACTCTATTGTGTCCTCGTTGCACTGACCGTCACAAGATAAGTAATCTTTAGGCTTTCTGCAAACACTTTCCAATAGTACAATCAGTTCCGCGGCACCAGTCATTGGGTCCTGACGCATTGACATTGGAACTGTTCCAGCATGCCCTTGGGAGCCTTTTACAGTAACCTGTAGATATTCTGTCCATTGGGGTTTCATATAGCCTTCTCCCAGATTTTAATCAATCACAAAGTTTAGTTTTGAATACGTTACCTTGAGTCTCGTCTGTCCTGCAATTCCTTTGACTACTCCTAGAGGATAACCAACCCATTCAAGCACAGGCCCTTGTTCAATGTGAACCTAAAGGACAAAAAATTCATAGTCAACAATCACAATGCCACTCTTGAGGAACAAAACCAGTCTCAGACAATAAGCTCAGTTCAACTTCATGGAAAATACAACTCATTCAGTTTGCGAGATGAAAGGAGATCAAGTATGTTTTTTCACCTCTACATAGCCCCAAACAGATGCAGGATCATACTTCAGCTGCATAAGATTTTCCTCTGTGATGTCTATGTTGTTCTCTTTAAGAGCATCTTGCACAGAAATACCACTGAGCGAATGAATATGGAAAAAGTGAGTACGTGTACTCAATCTACAAAGAGAGAAGAAGCAAAGGTCCTCCAGTAAAACCTTTTATCAGCAACCTCCAACCGAGAAACCGGCATGATACCAGCAAGAGCAGCACTGCCTAGGAAAGTAGACTGAAATCTCACACCTTC